CCCCAAAACCCCAAAACCCCAAAACCCCAAAACCCCACCAAATGAGTTAATATTGAATTTACCTAATATTTTAATTTGAGATAAAATTCTTCAGAGCTTTTATACTCTTCTATCTGAATTTTTATGAACACTTATTGTTGAGATTCCCGAGATAATATAGACTTAACAGATCGTTCAGACTCAGATCCTTTTCTAAACATAGCGTTCTTTTTGAACTTGGCTATGTTTTGTTTCAAACGGTCTATAGAATTAGTAGCTTTTCCATCTGTGGGTTCCTTAAATTTCTCAGCAGAATATTTTCTAATCACTGAGCCTTCTCTAGTCAGGGACATCAGCTTTTCCTTCACTACTTTTGGTATTCTCCTCTTTTGCTTCTTTTCAGTGCTAGGAGTGGCCCCAAGAGAAGAAGGTCTCTTAGGCTTCGATTTGTTTATATTTAGTGTCACTATATTTGGAGGAGCATCATCATTATTATCTCTACTCTCAGCATCAGAATCACTAACTTTTGGACTTGGCTTGATCACATAATCATCAACCTTGTTTGCAGATGGATCTTTTGGAGTAGAAGGGTCTTCTGCCATTGCAAAAGGAATCTCAGGCTCTTTGCTCTCTCCACTATGGATATCATCTTCTTGGTAAATCCCATAAGATTCTTGAAGAATCTTCTTGCTTGATCCTTTCTTAGTAGTGACACTTTTGAGATTGGAGAACCCTCTTGGAGTTCATGTAAGAGAGTCTTCATTATTAAACATTCCTTCCGCATAATTATTGTAAATCTCATTCAGTTCATCCTGCAGGGTTTCTTTTATCTGTTTATTTTCTTCATTATGCTTCTGATTCGAAGGAGTTGACTGGAGAAAATCATCATCTATAAGATCATCAAGATCATCTTCAAAATGTTTAGCATTATTTTTCTTCTGGATTGGCATCTCCTTGCTAGCCATATGTAGCTTGTTGAACACAGGATTTGAAAAATCATTATTGCTTAAGCAAAGTTTAGCATTTTCTACTGCTTTCTTTATGTTCTTGAGGAGACCTTCTGATTGAGCTATCAGGCTTCGTCTTTTAAATTCTGCAATACCTTCTTTGATTTCTTGAGGATCAGGATTTTCAAGACTTTCGTCACTATCACTATATATAAAATCAAGGGTTTTTCTCATATTTGAGGTTTTGTCAGAAGATTGCTTGAGTTGGCTAGATTTAGGAGATTTTATCATTTTCTCGACTCTTCTCTGAACTTTAAGAGCATCTGAAAGATTGCTGTCTCTAATACTTTCTAGCTCTTTTGCTTGATTTTTAAGAAAAGTGGCAAAGTCAAGAGACTCCTTTACAATTTCATTATATTCCTTAGCTGTGAGTGGAACTTCTGAAGATTGCTTCTTCTGAGGCTCATCAATATCATCCTTATCCCTAGCCTCTTGGATTACTCTAGGAGTTTTCTCTGGTTCAGCATCCTTCTCTTCATCATGGATTTCTACCACATCACTTTTAGAATCCTTGTCATCTTGCTTGACATTCTTCAGTTCAAATGCAGGTATTTTCTCAAGACTCCCTACTGAATGCATGTGAGGATTATTCTTCTCCTCCTCAGACTTGTTAGAGTTATTCTCTGAGTTATGGCTCAAGGAATACTTCGAGCCACTGTAATTCTTAGTAAATTCTGGTAAAGCTAGTCTATCAAAGAAGTTACGAGGTCTTTCCACACTTTTGTACCTGATATTCTCACTGCCCACACTGTGATCTGAGTACTCTTTCATCAAGAGTTGAGCATTTTTATCAGCCTTAGAGCTTTTAGAGTGCTTCACCATTTTCGGAGTCTTAGAGTCAAGTACAAATTTGGAAATCCCCCTTTTAGCTTTGTCTAGGTTCCGATGCTCAGATGTAACTTTAGGAGAATTAGGAGGCTTAGGCGAAGGAGCACTTTTAATTGGAGCGATTAGCTTATTCTCTAATGGAACATTCTTTGGTTCTTCAATTTCTTGAACTTCTTCAACTCCGATTTGAACAATTTCGTTATTAAGAGGTTCGATTACTATCTTTTCTGCCTTTAGTTGTTCAGTCTCTTCCCTCTCATTTGATGGATCCTTCACATTAGATTTGGTATAGGATTCATGATCAGATTTGAATTTTTTCACAAAATGGTGTATCTCAGGCTCATGTTCACTTGAGGAAAATCCTTGGTTCATAATCTTCTGTATCTGTCTTTTCTTCATCTTTTTCATATCGTGATGAACCTTCTTTTTCTTTTTACGTCCCTTTCTCTTCTTCTTAGGTTTAGGGTTCTGAGCCACTTCCTCGTTGGGAACTTCCGGCTTGATATCATTTGGATGGGAGTTAGAGTTTTTGAGGTCAAGCTTTATTTGTGCCTCAATTTCTTTTAATTTCCTTTCTTCAGCTTTTAGCATAGCTATTTTCTTTAAGATTATTTTAGACGGAGCCTCTTCCACAATTTCTGAAGTACTTTTCTCAAAAATAATATCTTTTGCTGTCCTACGTGATTCTGCTCTTTCAAGGTAAACTTCTTCTGCAGGTTCTACATGTGAAGACCCTCTCTCTTTAGATTTGGATAATCTTCTTTCAGGCTCAAATATCATTTCTCTTCTGCCAATTCTTTCTAACTCTTCTGAAGGTTTTCTCTTTGGAACTGGTTTTGATTTAGGTCTTTTCTTTCGAGTTTTCTTATCCTCTTCTTCTGCAGTAATCCATTCCTTAATATTTTCATATCTTCTGTTTAGAAAATCTTTGAACCTTTTCCAAAGCTTGCCTAACTTTTTCATGCTTTGAGAGGCATAGGAGTTAGCATCAAGGTAAACAGGGGCTCTTCCTGGTGGCCCTGCGCTTCTATTCCTCTTCTTGACCTTAATCTGTCTCAGAGTGGACTTGCTCATTCTAATCTCTTCTTCCTCTGTGATTTCAGAGTTATGTTGTTCGTCAAGTGGATGGTCTTCAAAACTGCGATTCTCCTCTTTGAAATCAAGCTCTTCTTCTATCTCAGACTCTTCTTCTTCAGGTTCTTCTGGGATTTTACTTTCTTCCTTATGGAGTTGTTCTTCTTGGACTTCTTGTGAAGATTCTAGTGGGGATTGCTGCAAGGCCTTGGGTTTCTTCTTTTTCTTAGGGACCATTATTGGCATTTTCTCCCTGATCAGGTAGTTGTTCATAGGATTGTCCTTGTACTTATTATCCATGTAATTCTTGAAGGTTGGGAACTTACCTTCTTTGGCTCTTTCAGCTTTTCTATTTCTCCCTCTCTTCTTCTTCAGTGATGCTGCTTAGCTCAAGTTCTTGGAAATCTTGTTCCTGTTCTTTAAGTTCCTGCTCTTTCTCAAGTTGTTTAGCTACAAGGAAGGGGTTGACATCTTTAGCCTTGGCTTTTTGTATATTGTCCAACTTTTGGTCTCTCTTCTGTTGAATTATTTGCCACCTTCTCAGTTTTTCCTTCTGGCCGTATTGTTCTATCTTTTTCTCTTTTTCTTTTTGAAGTTGAGACTGACGAAGGATTTGCTCCACATTTTTGATCTCTTCTTTTTCGTATTCTAGAATTTCTTGCAAGAGTTCATCCTGATTTGCCCTGTTGCTCTGCAGCGCCTTTGTCGCATATTTTGTAAAGTCACTTATATTGCTGTTTGATGACCGAAGACTACTCCTGAGAGAAGCCAATTTGTTTAATCTGTTCAGGATATCATTTTTCTCTTGTATAGGAGTTTGGTCTTCTTTAGATATTTCAACTTGATCCTCAGGGTACTCCTCTTCCTCATTAATTCTGACCTTCTTCTTGGGAGTTGAAGGATCTTTGGCCTTTTTAAGAGAACTTTTGAGCTTTGATTTCCTAATCTTTTCAGTATCTTGATCTCCATATTCTCTATCAATAAAGGCATTAGTCATAGTTATTGCCTTCTCAAGATTGAGTAAAGCTTGATATGCATATTTAGATTTCTTCTTTTGGGCCAGTGAAAGAGGTGTTCTCAGAATATTATTCTTAATATTAATGGCTAAGCCATGCTGAGCTAACTCTATTAAACAATCAGCAGAATCATAGATAGCAGCTTCATGTATCAATGTATCTCCATTAGCTTTGGTCACCTCAAGATCAGCTCCAGCCTCAATTAAGGCTCTTAGGCATTGCTTGTGATGATATTTCACTGTATAAAATATTGGAGTCATCATTGCATAATCGTCTTCATCTATCTTAGCTCCTAGCTTAATCAGCATTGTTACAAAAGGGAAATTCCCATTTGCTCATGCATGATGAAGAGGAGTCCTCTTCTTATTATCTGTGAGGTTGATATCTCCACCATATCATCAGTAAAGCTCAAGGAAAGCCAGATTATTATCCATTGCAGCTTCAAAGATATAAGTCTTCTTAAATGGATTTCATGACTGAGTCATTTCAGTTTCCAAATTTTTCCAAAACTTAGCACCTGTTTGTGAATTTTTAATCTTTTGCCATTGATAATTAAAGATCGGCTTATATTTCTTTGAAAATGGGTCATAAGCTCTAGGAACATCCCACTGGCATTCTGGGTTATCTTTCTGTTTGAAGTAAATAAACCCTTTAGATGTCGCCTTTACCTCCCAATTTTTCTGATGTTTTGATAAATTCTGGATTCTAGGAGCATTATCATTTTTAATATCATCTTCGATCTTATGGCTCCTCTTCAGCTGAGATGAAGGTCTCTCAGGCTGATCCCATTGAGGTTGCTCTTTGAAATTTAGCCTAGGAATTTCATGCTGATTATATGATGATTCTTCCAAGGTAGGTTGCTCGAAATTCCTTCTGTCTTCCATCCTTTTCATGTGATTTCCAAGGGTTCTCCTATCAATAGCATTTACCATCATAGAATCAGTGGGATTATCACTGATAACATATTGATTCTTAGATAGATTTTGTACATTAAGTTGTTCAAGCGATTCTGGGTTAATATTGATTTCATTATTTTCTATCAATTTCCAACCTCTTAGTGTAACTTATCCTTTCTCCAAACCTATTTTCCCTAGTCTCTTTGTAATCCTTTTTCTTGCTCTTCTTGCCTCTCTTCCTAGTCTGGGTTGGCCTCTCACTGCTGTCCATTTCTGAATTCAATAAATTACTAATTTTTTGGGGTTTTGGGGTTTTGGGGTTTTGGGGTTTTGGGG